TTTTTGATAAAAACTAAAATGTTTTTTTTTTTGTGTGTGTGTGTGTTTAGTCTTTTCTAGGAAGCCTGAGAACTCAAATTAACTTTGAAGTTATCAAAATTCTATGGACTGAATTTTATTGCTGTTACATTTATTCTGATGCTTCTACTATATATTTAGAGATTTTTTAATAAAATACAAAGAAAAATCTGACCTGGCAGCTTGGCTTCAGTCACTTTCCTATCACCATAATATAACTTCTGTGCCTTTTCTCTAAATATTTTCATGGTAATTTTTCTGACAAACTTTACTCTTTGGTACCTCTGAATTTAAACACAGTACTAGATTGGCAGCTAGGTCTCATTATTTTACAGTTGAAATGATTAGACATAATCGTAAGTACTATACTTAAGTTTCTTCTCTTGCACTTTTCACGTGTGGAACTCTCTTCTAACCTCTTGCTTTCCAGTCAACTGTGATCTTCAAAAATTTAAATGCAATGCCAATCATTATCTTCTGTCTTTTTAATTTCTGTTCTTTTATTGTTCTCCTTTTTCTTACATTCTCTCAGATTCAGTAACCCCTTGCGTCTTAGTAGCTTTATTACTTTGCTTGGAATGAGTTGTTTAAAAAACAAAATTACCCTGGTCTATATAGAGCAATAGAGTAGTATGCTATTTGTAACAGCTGATCTTTTTACTTCTAATAAAGTAGCAGCAGCAGCAGCTATTCACACAAATGTATCAATGCTCTCAACTCCCCGAAAACTATAGAAAATTGGCTAACTTAGTTACTTCCAGTGCTGTATAATAGGTTCTATTTATTTGATGATAAAATTGAATGGTTAGTCTACAGTAGCATTTCTCAAATCATGCAAAAATACACTGGGGTGCTCTGAGATGAAGTTAGGTGGTCCACAATATAAAATAAACAGGAGAGTCTTTATAAAAGTGTGACTGGATTATCCTTCATTATATAAGCTGCAGTCAAGGGCCCGTCAAGCTTTTATAAAGCAGTGATTTTAATTTCTAAATGTTATCACTTCTAAATAGTTTCATAAAGTGAAATATCAATATGAAAAACTTCTTTATTTTGATTGTTATAATACTGGTTATAAAAATTCTATTTTTTTTTTACTACAGTTGTGTTCAAATAGGTATTAATTTGGTTTGCAATAAATAATAAAATAGTGATATTTCTTAAAGTGTGTTTTTATTGACAAACAAAAGTTAGCTACTCTAAATTATTTAAAGAATTTGCAATAAGTTTACTCCAAACTATGTCACTAAAATATTCAAAACAGGTGTGGGAAAGTTAGAGGGTTGTTCTGTTTGAAAGGGTGAGGGGGCCCCCATAATTTCATTAGTCAAGGTGCCCAAAAAGGTTATGATCCAATGGAATATGCATACACCTGTGTTCCCCATCAATGGAATATGATTGGCTGGTGTCCGTCATAAATATAGATGGACATGTAGGTACAACAGAGTCTAAGTCTATGATGACGCCCATTGGATTACGCCATTGGTTATTCTATTGGTCTACACTTATTACCTGCGACTATGATGAGTACCAGTTGATTTTAATTTTCTAAATGTTATTACTTGTAAATAGTTTGATAAACTGAAATGATATTGATATGACAAATTTCTTTATTTTGATTGTTATAATACTGGTTATAAAAATTCTATTTTTTTTATACTACAGTTGTGTTCAAATAGGTATTAATTTGATTTGCAATAAATAATAAAATAGTGGTATTTTTTTTAAAGTGTTTTTAATGACAAACAAAAGTTAGCTATTCTAACTTATTTAAAGAACTTGCAATAAGTTTACTCCAAGCTATGCCACTAAAATATTGAATATTTTTTACTTATGATATATTTTAGTGACATAGCTTGGAGTAAACTTATTGCAAATTCTTTAAATAATTTAGAGTAGCTAACTTTTGTTTGTCAATAAAAACACTCTTTAGGAAATATCACTATTTTATTATTTATTGCAAACCAAATTAATACCTATTTGAACACAACTGTAGTAAAAAAAAATAGAATTTTTATAACCAGTATTATAACAATCAAAATAAAGAAATTTGTCATATCAATATCATTTCAGTTTATTAAACTATTTACAAGTAATAACATTTAGAAAATTAAAATCATTGCTTCATAAAAGCTTGGGGAGCCCTAGACTGCAGCCTATACTAGCCTAAAGGATAATCTGGCCCACCCCTACCACTTTTATAAAGACTCTCCTGTTTATTTTACATTGAGAAACATTTTGACTCCCTCCCAATTATTAAGATCCCACCTTTGTATTAGGCACCTACAAGTGTTTATTCATTGTAAGTCTTTAGAAAATAGGATATGTCAATTTCAATTATGCCTGACAGTAAAAGAGTTTTAATGCATATTTAATGTAAGAAATTATGGTTAGTTTTAGATATGACTTAAGAATATGGCTTAACATCAAGAAAAAATATTTGCTATTGGTTTTGAAAACATTAATATTTTTTTTAACAATATTATGAGTTAAATTATTGAATTGGTATTATCACTATGTCACTTCCTTTGATGAATCATTTGACTTTAGCACAAATACATTTGAGAGACTGAGGCTCTTACTGGACAGAATCTTTGACAAAGTTAAAAAAAATATTTGATAGACCAAACTCGGTGAACAATTAACATGTTGACTGCCAGGTCAATTACAAAATTTGACTTCAAACGCTAACTTTATAACAGCCAAATTAGGCAATAAAAATTTTTTATAGGTTGATTTTATAGCTTCAACTGAAGACTTAACATTGCTTTCAAACTAAAAGTATTAATGCTAATAAACCCCTTGTTGGTGCCTGTAGATGAAAATGTATTAGAAAATACCATGTAGTGAGTGTCTGGACTTAGTTGTAACAGTCTATTTGAGATGCATACCATGAGAGCATTTTAAAGATAGTGGGAGCTTATCCTCACTATCACACCCATCTAGTATAACCTTTGGAACATATATAATGTACATATACATAGGTATTATTTAATATACTAATATCAGCTTCAAAACTCATGAACAACATTTTCTCAAAATGCTTGATAAATAATCCATAAGTTGACTTTAATTTTTAGCTAAAAGTATCCTAAAAAAACATGGACACACTTTTGGTAACATTGGTTCTTTTATCACAAATTAACTTGTTCATAATAAGCATCTGTCCTTTTGTTAATTCCTAACACATGTCTTAATAATTCTCTACTTTGTAGTAGTTTTCAATCTGATCTTTGTAAAAATGTTTTCTGTAGAAATATTCACTAAATCATTGACAGATTTAAATTAATAAACTGTTCCACTTCTTTTCTGACAAAAACATCTTTTGAAAGTATCTGTTAGCAAAACTGATAATCAGTGGTAATGTTTCATCTTGTGGATATTTCATTATGTCAAGTTTTAATCAGGCAGAACATTATTTTCAAATGTATCTACATTTGATTTTAAAACAATATTAAAAACAAAACAAAAATTTTTACATCATGATGTATTTTAATCATAAAATGTATTAAAAAAAGTAAACTTTTAAAGAAAAAGAAACAATAAAAAATGTATTCAAATATGAAAAATATTAAATGATATACCTTTTTCCAAAGTTTTTTTTTCAATTGCATATCATTTTTTAATAGATTTTTCTTCTTCCATATTGCTATGATTTTATTCATCAAAAAACTGCTTTCATAGTAAATTTAGATCGTTTTTTTATCATGTGAAAATAAGTGTGTATTACATGGTTTGTAAGAAAATTATTTTTGTATTATAAGTGATATATTACTATTCTTTTCTGAAAGAAATTTAGTTTAATATTTGTTAATAGGAGATATTCAATTTTGATAAAATGTGAGAAATAAATCAAATATTTATGAGTTTATCAAGATATAAAAATTACCAATATATATATTTTTTTTTGCTGAAAACTGAGAAGCTTAGGTAATGCGTAAATAATATTCAAATAAAAACATTCATTCTTGTAGATATATTTTAAAATAATTTTTAAAATAATTTTTTAATTATTATTTTCTTTTTATTTACAAATTTTATATCTCAGGATTATTTATTCTGATCCATTTTTGTGCAAACCTTTTTCCCCAGATTTTTTTTTACTTTTACGGTGAATATTATTTAAACTTAGGAAAGATTATTTTTTTTCATAAATTCTATTTAAGGTGGGAAATATACTATCATGACATTTGACCAAATTGAAGAAATTCCAAATGAAATAATATATTACAATCTGTATCATGATGGCAGTCTCTCAAAGTCCAAGGATGAGACATAAATGTTGAAGAAGCTACATGAGAAAATGCCATTTTTAAAGTTCCTTTTCATTAAGCCAAAATATAAGTGTTTTTGTTTTTTATAAAGTACAAAAGAATCATTCCCAGTGATAACTTTTAAGAATATAAACAAATTATCCTTGTATTTCTGAGAATTTAAATTCCATATGAAAATTTGTTACTGTTTTCATATTTTGACATTTTTTTAAAAGCAGTATCTATGAAATCACACGTCTATCAATGTTTTATCAGATATTTTCTTTCATCTTTTATACACTGTAAAATATCTATATTTTTATATTGCTTTTATATAAAAGTTACATTCATTAAAGTAAGAAAAGTCCAAGTGACTTATCCAGTTAGCCAAAAGTTTTGTATCAAAATGCTCATCAAGTCTTGATAAATCTATTGAAACTCATCAGGGCCAGATGTTTCATAACTTAAGTTCACAAGATTTAACAAACTGTGGAGCATTTTGACATGAAACCCTCGAGATGACTAACCAGTTGAACATTTCATAATTTATTGAATATTATAGCTCTACTTATATGTTGAGCACTTTTTAGCAGAAGTTCTGCTAGTCTGAAAAAACATCTAAAACTCTCATAATTTTTACATATTTTTTCAGTTTTATTATTATTATTATTATTATTATAAAGTTATATAAAAGTTTGAAAAATGATTTTTGAATTTTCTGCAATTTTCTTACGAGAATGCTGTCATTTTGATTTGAGTTTGTATGGTTTCAAATTGAACACTTTCAGGAGTGATTCCAATTTCTAGCAATTGAGCAAAAACATGATTCAGATAAAGAGGATCAGGGTAACCGTATCTGAAAAAACAAAAAAAAAAGCAAAACATTAGTGATGTATATAAAATAAAATGCAAACATGTATTTAAGTTAGACTATTTTTAAATCCTTAATATTAGGCATTTATGCAACACAAATAATAAACAAAACTATTTGATATTAATGTAGGAGTTATGTGGCAGATAAAATAAATTTTATTATTTAAGTGTACAACTAAAGAAATATTACATTAACCAGAACAATATTTTTACAATCATTGCAAACCTTTGCTAGCATCACTGTTTAATATAAAAGAAAGCTTTTAACCATATTGGAATTCATGTCTGCCCTTCTACCTTTGACCTATGGAAAATATTCATCCCAAATAAGGCAATAAATCCATTAAGATGAAAAGAGTTACTGAGAGAGTGAAAGAATCTGGTAAAAAACATTTTTGAGATGAGAGGATATTAAAAGAACAGGGTTCAAGGAGACAGAAGATGATAATTGACATTGTATTTAAATTTTTAAAGATCATAGATGACATGAAAGCAAGAAGCCATCTTTCCTAGCAGCAGACAAGGCAATCAATTCAAATCAGTCATTCCACTTCATGTCAGTGGAAAACAAGAAGGCACAATTAGTTACTTTCCTGTAGGTTAGCATCAGTCATGGAAAGCAAAAAAAAAGGTCCTCTAAGAATTGTACAATGAAAAAGATTTCAGTTATTGTGAACACACACAAACATGTATATGTATACTGCAAACTATTAATGTTTCTGAAAATGTTTAAATAATGTTTATTCAAAGGAGGATTCTAAGTGAAAATATTCATTTTGATACAGTGACTTAAACAGCTTGCTAATGTTATAAAATAAGATATATCTCGGCTGATTTGCAGGCAAATAAACTAACATACTCAAGAGCGAGAGCTGGATGTGAACAGGACAAGCCCCGTCATAAAATGACCATTATCATCGTTTATGCATAGGCCCGACGCACAAGTTCTGGTTGAAAAATAAAATAATATTTTAAAGTGTTTCTATTTTTCGACCAATAAAAATGCTTCCCTCCTAATTATACTCACATCGTTTTACAAGCCTGTTAAGCCATAAAAAACGCCATAAAGGGGGTCATGCAGTTAAGTACAACAGCAGACAACAGGAGGCCAGGGAAGAGATCTGTCACGGGCAGTCAGCAGCAGTAGCGCCACGCCAACCAGCGAGAACGACTATGAGAGATCAACCCAGGTTGGCAGCCGGCTTATGAACTATATCACAAGGTAGCTGTCCCAAAACCACACGTTCCTATTGAAATAAATCACGTAAATCTATTTTTGCTGTTGTCGTATTTTTTTTATGCTTGTCTATAACACTAATTTATCAATGTAAGTCAGTGTTTCTCAACCTTTTTAAGTAACAACACACCTAGGAGCAACTGAAAATATCATGGCACACATAGCAAAATTTTTAAAGGGTATATATTTAAATGTTATGAAATAAAACCATAGAGTTAAAAATACACACACAAATATGAACTTACTTTATTTCAATGATTCTATTCAACTATTTGGGCAGCTTATTTAGTGTGAAACTTGTGCCTGGTGTTTTTTTTGGGGGTTTTTTTTTGCAATTTCTTCAATATTTGGTCAAATGTGCAATAAGCTGACACATTTATTCTTCAATTGATCATAGTCTTTCTCACTTCTTATTTTTTATGTTATTTAGAGCTGAAAAGACTAATTCACATAAATAAGTAAAAAATTGCAATGAAACTGATAAAGCTAGCAGTTGAGAAACACTGATGATGTAAGTGCTTAATTATTTTTTGGTATGTATAGATTTTTATTAGTATTTGTTGGCTACTTGTCTCACCAAAATTCCACTAAATAACAGAGTGTAAATAATTATTTATACTTATTGTTGACATGATGATTCATGCTGAGGAGACCTTATAAAAATTACGGGTGCAGAATATTTTTTTTTTTTTTTTTTTAAATAAAAAAACAAACAAACAAGGGTAAAAGGGTAAGCAACTCCAGAAATGTAACTTAACAAGGGAGGTAACTTTGAAAGTTCTTTCAGAATATACACAAAGTGTTTGTACAGTATTTATTGTCCACGAACAAGAGCAAATATTACGTGCTTTCAAAGATTCCCATCATACTCCACTTAAAAACACAAACAAGAGAGTATATACATATTAGAATAGCTTGTTTTTTATAAAGTATCAGATTCTAATTACTTTCATGATAATCTGAAATGCTTGTGAAAATTATATATGTGTAATATTTTTGATGGAATCACTGCTTGATATGAATCATTCAATGCAAATAATATTGCAGCAATATACATAGTAATATTTTACATATATACAAGATTGTATTGAAAAATTCGCAGCCTAACCTCTCAAAGTCAGTATTTCAAAGATCATCAGAATTTGGGAGGGTTAAAGAAATTTGACAAATGTAGTACCAGGTAAATATGTGGAAGAGTATGTACAGGGTATTTCATAATTTTTTGAACAAAATGATTGGGCACAAATCATGGGCCACAAATGATAGAGTAATGGAAATTACATTTATTGGATGGTGTTGTAGCATACCTATGGATGATAATGGGTATGTCCCCATTCACATAAATACAGTAGTAAATACTTGTATATTAGTTTGCAGTTGGAGATTCGTCTCCAGCTGTGCTGGCTAACCTCTCTGCCTCTGGCCAGTCTCATCTCAGGCAACTGATCAGCTTGGACCAGCTTAGACCAGCTTGAACAAGCTATGACCAACTAAGATCAGCAACCCGAGTGAAGATATTCGGGTCCCTAATGTTAAAATCTGACCTTTTGTCAAGTAAATCAACTGCAGTTGGAGATTCTTCTCCAACTGTGCTGGTCAAACTCTCTGCCTGGAGGCAGAGAGGATCCACAGACAAGGCTATGTTGAAGGGCAGAGTTTTGTATCAGGAAACAGCTACCTGACCCCATTTTATATGGAGTCTATGGGGAATTTTTGGTCAAGCCTACAGGCTTGGATACCCCACATTAAATTCGGCCTTGTGCCACATCTGACCATGTGGAGCAGTTGGTAGGTATCCTGCAATTGGAGAGTCATTGTGGAATTCACTTAACTCACTTCTATCAGTTGACTAATTCTTCTATGTGCTGCTGGCGAATCTTATCTGTGTGTCCTAAGTATTATTGTTCATTACCAATCTTTGTGTGATCATTCTATTCAGTAACCTCCCCTAAAAAGGTAAAAGGATAACATTTTAGGATTTGCAACCATTTAGTCTCAAACATGAACCAAAAATGTCAGGAGGAGCCCTAGAATGACATGCTCCAGTTGTCCGCCACCCAATTGAAGGCATGGTTGAATGCAAAGTTGTTGATAACACATGCACATTTCTCCTGGGTGATCACTTGAATCTTCTCTGTATTGGCTGCCTTCAATGTTGCAATGGTGTGAGGGTTGCTCTGGTAGATGTTACTCTTGAGGATCCCCCAATCCAGCACCCTACTCCCCGCAGTGGAAGAAATCTGGGAGGTTCAGGTCTGGTGAGAGAGGTGTCCATTGCACTTCAGTATTGTCCTATTCACAATGTTTCGGCCATTGTATGCTTCTTCAGGCGATAAATGTTAGAATTTCAAACCGAGGCCTTTATTTCAAGTGCCAGGGTAGATTCGTTCTACTTCCATGAGCCATGCTTTTCTGGAGATGTCAGTTATTTCCCTTTAGTAACTCAACTCTCCAAGCATTGGTTGAAGTAATCCAGTAACTTAACCCAAAGTATTGCAAGTTCAGTACTTGGCCAGAACATAGGTGAACAAAAATTTGGAGAGTTGTGTTAGTAAAGAGAAATAACTGAAACTGAGATATCCAGAAAAGGCATGGCATGTGGAAGTAGAACAATATACCCCAGTGGAAGAAATAAAGTTCGAAATTCCAATGTATATCACCTGAAGAAGGCTGGAGCATACAACAGCTGAAACATTGTGAATATGACAATAAAGATGAGGACAATAGTCCAAACAATGTAAATAGTGTAAATATAAGCAATGTAGTGTTATCTTGCTAGCATATACATGAGAGCATCTCAGTAGTACTACTAAATAACATTTGTATAAAATAATTAAGACTCACTTTCTCCTAAGCAATGCACCATGGTAGGCTAGATTGATTAACCATTACTACTGAACAGTGAATATGACTTTCACTGTGGGCCTAATACAATATTCAACATTAAATAACCCAACAAGGTTTGACAGATTGTAAAATCAACAAACCCAGTAATGTATTGTTAGCCTACTAGCATATACATGAATATATAAAATTAAGATGAAATATGAAAAACAATTTACAGTAATGGTCCTCCAGTTTGTCTTGATTTATGAAGAATTCCATTCCAGATTACAACATTGGACATTTTTGTTGATAAAGAATCCCCAACAGTAAATATAAGATGTTCTTTGAAAGCTTTCTGAAGCATCTTGAGAATGGATTCACCTTCTTCACTTGCAGGCAGGTAAGCAGTTCTCACTGTGCCTATATACATTTTTCCAGGATTAGGGTGGATAATCTGCAAATGAATTAAAAAGTAAAACAATTTTTAGAATGTAAATTGCTGATTTGAAAGACATCACATTAAAATAAGGCTTAAGAAAAGTACTGCTTCCTATTATTTTTTAGGTTGAATAAAAATTAGAAACAAATTAGATTCCATATTAACAATAAGAAATAAATTTTAAAATAAATCAGTATCACCTTCTGAAATATTCTCAAAGATTTAAATTTTTGGCAAACTTGGATCTTTGTGGCAGCAAAAAAATGAAATGTCAAAAGGATTATTAGAATTAGATTATTATTACAATTCTAATAATTGTAATAAAACCTAAAGTGAATTTATACATTTTCTTTGCTCTTGAGAATTGGCAACAAAAATAAACATTATTTACTATTGGTTTATTCACACCATTATATTGTTTATTGGAATGATTAGCAAAACATTGCCAATTGATTCAAACTTTATAAAATGGTAAATAATAAAGATGTCCTTATAGTTGGTTCACATATTTTAATAATTTAGTAAATATTTATAAATTTATGAATAAAAAATTGTTTTCATATTACGTTCTTTATGAATTGGTAACTGATAAATATTGCATTAGTTCTAACACAATTTTTAGAATGTAAATATCAAATTATTCTTGTAAATAAACAATCTAATAAACAGTGTTGTAAATTCTCAAGAACAAAAGAAAATATATAAATTTCATCATATGTTTTATTAAATTTCTAATCATCATGTTTTAAAACAACAAACATTGCCGAGGAGTGAAGGTAGTTAAAATAATAGTGGTGTCAAGGGAAAAACAGTAATTACACCATATTTTTATGGACAAGAAGGCCCAAGTTTGTCAAATTTTTAATTTTTTTCTTTATTGGCATTTGATATATGTTCCTTTATAAATCTATAGATCTTATAAAAATGAATTAAAATGTATTAACTAGTTATTAATACAGTGAGATGATTGAACAGCTCATAAAATATTTTTTCCTTAATATTTAGTTAGTGGCAAGTCAGATATTCACAGTTATTCAAGTAGCTTTCTGAATACCTTTGTCAAGTAACTACAAAGAGTTTCTGGTTTTAGTCATATCTGCATGAGTTATATACAGTTTTATTTGATTAGTGAAAATAAAATTATTTTTGCATATTTGAATTTTTTAAATTTAGAAATTCATTTTCTAATATTGTCATTTTAATTCATTTTTTTTTTTCAAATAAATCCTTTTATTTTTTCATTTTTATTTATCCTATAAAATCAGAAAGAACACCCAAGATAATATATAAGCAAGAAAATTAAGAACATGGAGCCAGAAGGGAGTTCTACAAGAGAGAGAAAAGAAAGTGTTAGCATAGAACTTATAGCTTTATTTAGCCAGCTCAACTGTAAATTGTTGAGATCCTGACACCAGTCCAACACTGCGCTTAAATTCAAAAAGTTTACGTACTATAGTGAAGAGCTCATCTGAACAATTACCATGAACAATTACATAGAAAAACACAGAGAGGCAACCTTACAGCAGTGGGAAAGTAACTGAAGCCAAGCTGCCATTAATATTACTGATTCTTCTTTGTTTTTAATCAAGGAGCTCAAGGTAAATAGTAGAGACACTAGACCATAGTGATTTTCTAAGCCCAGCTTATATGTGGCACAAGGCTGAAAGTGTTGGGGCACCCAGTGAGAATTGAAGTCACTACTCAGTTGTAATTGATCTAGCAAGACAAGCTTTCTAACCATTACACTATGTTGAGCTGCCCCAGGGGGCACCAGACCATATGTAGCAACAATATTCTAAGCATGGGCAAATGGTAGACTTATAGACATACAAGACAGATTCTGGAGAGAAAAATTATCTTGCACAACACAGTGAATCTACCTTAGCAGCTGATCTAGCAATGGATTCAATATAGTCTTTCCACTTCATGTCAGCTGGGAACATTAGCCCGAGAAGGCACAACATGTCACTTTCCTGGAAGACATTGGCTGCCATTTAGACATTGTCAGACTGATCAGCAACCCTTTGTGGGCATTAAAAACTGAAACATATTTTGGATTGTAAGAATAAGTCTTTTTTCTTTTGCAAGTGAATATTGCATTAACAATTTTTGGTGGGGGAAACAATGATTTTTTTCAGATACAGATCGTACTATTTAACCCATAGCTGGGAAGAGGAGATGGATTCATACCTTTCCTATGAGTATTTGTACATAAGTGAATAACAAAACTTAGATGACAACAAAGATGTGGCAGAATAATGTTTGGGGCCAGTACTGTAGATTGTAAGTCTTTTCAAAGTTGATGCTTTTCAAAGTTAATAAATATAGAAAATTGTAATTTCTTAAAAAAAAGATATTTTTTCAGTTGTACAGGTCACAAGGTTTGATCTAAAGAGCATATTTATCATGCAAGACAAGGTTCCATCAAAATTCTGCTAATTGCCAGCGTTACCAAATATATACAGCTTGTCTGAAGTTATGCAAATCAAATAAACCTCAATACTTAAAAAGTTCTGAACCAATATTTGTTAAATCTAAACCCATCTATTTCCACCCTTAGTAAAATTATTTAACTAAATTTTCTGCCATTTTTAATGGTTAGTTTTTGAGGCATTTGGAATTTACAAAAATGGACTGACTGAAATTAATATGTAAATTAAACTAAGATTAGCTTAAGACCTCTTAAATCTAATAAAAACTATTTTTTCTTTTTGTCCATAATATATGTTGAAACATGGATAAAGGAAAGGATCACCAGCTGCTGAAAAACAGAAAATAAAGTTATTGCGTGAGGGAATGTCCACATTGGAGATCTCAAAGGAACTTTGCAGAGATCATCAAATAATAAAGACAGTTTTGCTGAAGTAAAAATATTAACAAAATCAATGGATGATAGATTACTGGCTGTTATTGAGAGAAGGGTTCAAAGACATATATGTGTTTGTTATTTGTTCTATTATAGGTGTTGATTAATTTTTGATGATATTATTACCTTTTATTGAAGTAAATTGTGATTATTTGGTTTTGCCTAATAACTTCAGATGGCAGTGTTTTTTAGAATACATCAAATAACTTCAATAAAACATAATGATACTACCTACCTGACATCTGAATTGTTTAAAATTTGACAACTTTTTTCAAACGAAATTTAAATTATTGAATTTTATATGAATTTGCTTAATAACTTCAGACAGGGTATATATATATATATATATATATATATATATATTTATAAAAATTTACCAATTCTATGACTGACTTGCATAATTAAATCTGATATAGTGTATGTTAATGACTCGACTATCCAAGGAATAATATTTGATTTCTATTAGCTTTTGCAGGCTACTTCAAATTGCATTCTAAATTGAGCACCCTATTTTGTTATCAACTGTTCAAAAACAAATAAATACCTGCTGAATACCACAAGGTATTATATAGTGAATCTTATAAGTAGGAAATGCTTCAAAACCAGGCAGGCTTTGTTCTGATAGTGTAACCAGCATTTCACCTGGTGGCTGAGGTTTCATGTTTAAACACAAAGGACACTTTTCATCCAAAACTTCTTCCCAGTCTCTTATGCAACCACTGCAATATTTGTGTTGGCAGTCATAAAATATCTTTGGGTTGGTTACTGGTTTGAAACACACTGGACATACTATGGCGCTGAATGGACAAAAAACATATGAAAAGATTTTTATTTTAAATCCACACTGTTTACTTACACTACAGTTTAAAATTTTGAAGCCACACCTGGTAATTTTTTTTAAATTGGTCCAAAAAGTAGTTGTTTTGTACTTTAAATAAGAGAAAATTATTATACATGGTTAAAAAGGTGATTGATTATTGCAGCACAAATTTTTGGCATTCATTGTAAAAGTTTCTCAAAGTATAAGTTTGATAATTGATTCCATTCTTTTTTCAATGACTCTAAGATATTTTTTTTTCATTTTTTTTTTTTTCACTCATCAGTCAAGTTCATCCCATGTTAATTCTTGGGGTTACTTCAAACTTTTGAACTGCACTATATATGTAAAAATTCAGATACAACTAAAATATATTTGTAAGAGGACCATATGATTAAAGGCAAAAGTAAAAAATTTTGTCAAAGTGTTTTATCTTCTAACAGACTTTATCAAGACAAATGTAAGGAATTTATTTTACAAGTATTTATATACAAAAATAAAAATGTTGGTAATTTTTTAAATTTTAACATTTAAGAACACTCATAAATATACACCAGTCAAGATAAGTTATGGAAGATGCTAAGTGATATAATCTAATGTCTAATAACCAAAAGTGAGTAAATGTCGTAGTTGAAACTTTTTTATAATATAATAATTATTTTTATTATTTTGTGATAAATTTATGCATTATATATTTTAAAAAAGAGCATTTTATGATTAAATTTTGCTCTCATCAAAATATCCTTCATTAGGCTTGATTACTACAGCACAATTTTTTGCATTCATTGCAAAAGTTTTTCAAAGTATAAGTTTGATAAATGATTCCATTCTTTTTTCAATGACTCTAATAGTTCTTTTTCATTTTTCTTTTCACTCTTCTGTAAAGTTCATCCCAAGCTAATTGAACTATACTGTACATGGCTCAAAACTGATACTATTGTAGTAAATAGATGAAAAAAAAATAATAATAAAATAATTCATCTAAAAATTTCAAAAACAGTTTCAAAATATGAGGTGTGACAAAGGTTAATCTAACCTTAATGTATTGAATGTCATTATAAAGTTGAGTAATATCTGAATACCATTTATATACAGTTAATCTATCATTATTGTTATTATTATTCTTTTCCTAGGTTGGTTTTCAACTTGTAGGTTAAGGTTCTGAATCTTGGTCAAGGATCAATATCAAACTCTTCATGTGAAAAGAAGAGCATATCCAGAACTCTGGAATATCGTCCATACTTGACAAACCAGGCACCATGTGACTTTTAGCTCTTCTACAAGCTGAAAATTGTTCAAACAAAATTTTTTTAATCATTTCACCCCAAGGAAGGCAATAATGCAAGGGATTACTGGGAGTGAAAGAGAATGAGAAGACATTAATGAGGAGAAAGGACAATAGCAGAATATTAAGATGTGTTGTCAATGACATCAAGAAAGAGGATTTTGAAGAAAGTCTGAAAGTATGCAAGAGAAGAATGCAAAAGTATCTTGATTATAGGGGTATTATTTTGAAAGTGAGACTGTTAATTTAACAAATAAAAGTTTTATTGTTTGAGTATTGCTTGCATTTTGTCACACCTCATATTATAACTTCACAATCAAAATAAATCATTTATACAAAATTAGCAACAAAAACATCATACAATGCTAATTTTGTTATCCACAAAAGTCTAAGGAGGCATATAAATTCTGATATTATTTACACTGAACTGATGTCAAATATTCTATTAAAATTCAATGTGTTGAAAAGCATTATTATCCTGAAATTTATAGTAACAAGTAATTTTCAATTTAGGCATAAAGACAATATATATATTTAATGAAACAATAAAATAGTAATGTTATAAACACACATATGGTAGCATGAAAAAACAAATGAAACAACAAGTATCACAAGTCAGGCAAAAGGAAAAGAAGACAAGAATTGTTGCTTCACCAATCCGACACTTTGGATAAGACCTCATACCCCAAGTTTTCAATTTTTACTCTTGTTATAAATACAACAACAAATGAAAATGGCAATAAACTGTCTGTGAGGTGAGAAGAAAGAAGACATGATAAAATTCCAATTTAAAACAATGAAAACTAATTGCTGGTCTAATAGTACACTGAACTTATGAATTTGGTACAACTAGGTACAGCTCTGTATCCAACTGCTACACTTACCAAGTCAGGTGAAAATGATAACAAGTAATAAATTACTTCTTTGGCTTTAAATTACATGTAAAACCACTGAGTTGTTTACATGAAGACTTATCCATCAGATTTGTGTGGTATCTTATGCAAAATAATTTCAGAGAAAGCCAATCAATAGATCATGTGGTTTGTTTATTTAAGAACATATTCACTTGTAGTTTCATAAAAGGAATAGATTTTGGGAAGTAGGTTATTAGAATTCAGTTAAGTGGTTAGCTGACCATATACTTTCAGGGACAAAGGACACTTAAAGAATGTAAATTATTGGTTAAATTGTATCAATACATCTTTTTGACAAGCCAGCATTCTGAATTTCTTGTATACAGGTGCATAGTGCAATTTAGTGAGTTCTGCTGAGGTTAGCAGAGAAGATTTGGTTTGTTTAATGGTGTATCAACTCATTATGAGTTATTTAATGCCAAAATTTAATTTTCTTGGGATCTTTGGTACTTTCTTTTTACTATTAAAACCCATTGCTGAATTATTTTTTAATCCATTGCTGGAACCCTTACTACAAAATTGTATTTCTATACTGCCATAATTCTTTGAGCCCAACTTGGGCATTCACTATTTGTACATAGCTGGGACCTTAACAGGCACTACCACTAATGGTCAGGGTGGAGCTGGGAACAAGAGCAATTAAGAGGTAGTTCTACACTCCTCAAAACCCCCTAATCAGAGGCCTTGCTGCCAGATGTAGTTTATATATAGTCATAACCAGGATATAGCAGAGAAGAGAGATATGGGAGATGCAACAAAGATCTAGGAGGAGTAAATCATAACAACAGCTGTAAGAACAGACCCTCAGATTATCCCACCAACATTTGAAATATGAGAGACCATTCAAAGATACACAACTGTTGTTCCATCATCATCATACTTGTGAATGACTGAATGAGGGATTTGAGGTTTGGACTATTGTTTACTGCTGTCAAGCATTAGAATTGTAGAAAGGAAGATGCTAGTTTGAAACACCTATGTAACCAAAAGATAAACTAAATTTGTTAAAATCTTATTATAATATTCTAGTCTTTTTCGTTATTCCAAGACTTTGATCATTCCCTTAATTATAGTTTTGTGTGATACATGGATGGTTTGAGCTTGACATTTCAAACCTAGGTCTCTGACATTGCCAGACCAGTGAACAGGATAACTACCAGCACTCCTGACAATAGTGATACATTTAGTTCTGTGGCCAAAGATTCTAGACTCTGAGGCTACCAGAGGAAAACATACAGTGTGTAGTGCTACATAAGTAACTGGAAAAGCCAGCATGTTGGTTATCATGATCAGGAATGTAACAAGAGAAAAAAAATTGAAATGAAAAATAACACTTAGGCAGCAAGAAGAAACTCATATCAAACTACAATGTCGCTTGGTATAGTTTTACAACTTTCAACTTTGTATTTAACTAATAATTAAGAAGTACTTTGTCCTTTCAGGATCATGGCTCTTCACAGTTTCATTTTCTTTAATCCTGTGTAATTCTTAATTGCCATGTCTGTTCTTGATAAGAGTAGTGGAGTGGTTTCTTATTGCCTTCTGCACAGTTCTGAATTCATAATTGCCCTTCTATTAGGCTGGTTGCCAACCAAGGATAGAGAACCTAATGCACCCTAATTCATAGCTGGAGTGAAAAGAGTACCTTTCCAAGTAGTGTAAGGTGAATACAAGTCTTCCATTTTCCACAGTGATAACCATTATGCCACTTGCACACCTAGGATTTTGGAAAAATATTAAATCAAAGATTGTCACTCAAAAAAAATTGACACAATGTAACCATTATATAGAAGTATAAAAGCCATAGGAGATAAATTATTTGACTACAAAGAATTATAAACAAAAATGTTTAAAATACGCCTGAATTAACTTACATTGTCAGTGCTGTATTTTTTTTCTTTTTTGTTATATTATTTTTAAAAGGAATTTGGTAGGTCATTAATAAATTCATGATCATAACACAATTGGATTCTTGATTATCAACAAAACTAATCACTTGTAGATGTTTGGGTGAATGTTGATTCATAAATGATGTCATGCCATTCAAACAAGCTTCAAAACACAACTCCAATGAAGTGTTGTGGATTCCTGTTAAAAAGAAATAAAATGCATTATTAAAAAATAATCTGATAAAGAGGCTGCAATATTAATGCCTTCATTTAATTTTAAGGAGGACTTTTTTACTGCAAAATTTGATATCCAGATTTGTTTACATCCTATATACCAAAGATATATATTTATTGTCATGTCTATAAAGAAATACACAAATAAAAAATTAATTATAATGACAGTGTCATGACCATAAAACAATAAATAAAATTAATTATAGTGTCAAAAAATAATTATAACAAATATAATTATCATTAATTCACTTATTTTAAACCAATGAGAATCAACATCACTTTTTTCGTCTACACACACACAAACATGTGACATTCTCATTATCAGACAAACAGTTCACACTGACAGGTCATTAACATGTGTGCCAACAAAAATTTTGGTTCCTTTTCCTTTTTAGGCCATAATAGCAACATTTATTTTTTAGCACTCAACAAAAATTCAAGGTAAGAAAACCCCAGACATTTCTTGTATTTTTGAACTAAATTCTCTGGACACTCATCACATACATTTATAAAAAAACTTACAAGAAAGACTGTATACACTTTACTTATTCTTTATCTCATCCTTTTGTCAGATTCTGATCTATATTTGATCTACATTTGACTCCAAACTCACAATTTTATTCAGTATTACTGTTTCTTGTTTATCCAACTGCACTTAGCAACCAGATGATGGGTAATACTCATTTTGTTGGTTCTGAATCTTGTTGTTTCTCATTTTTGCAAGTATTTATGTATATGTAAATGTTGGTGGGGGTGGCTTCGTAATTGTTTGCTCAGAGTTGTAACCAACATTATATATCAATTCAAATGTCCCTTGGGAGAATGTATCTCTGACAAGAAAACAAATACATATGTTGGACATATGACAACTACATTATAAAGATGCTGTACTCTACACATGTCTGACCATTTGTCCATTGCAAAATATTTGTGTCAGCATTTCTGTCCACGTTCACAGTATAAAAAATACTGATTGATAACACAAATATCCTACACCAAGAAAATAGCAAATTAAAACTAGATCCTCGAAGCAATCTCCATTAAAAAACTGAAGTCAGTATCGAATAGAATCAGTTACAAATACTGTAATAATGTTCTAAAATGCCTATAAAAAAGAAACACTTTTCACACTTTAATGCATCCTCGACCATAACATCCAAAATAAAATAAAAGTAAAATTCCATAATGGATAACTATTCACATTTTAATGAATGCACCTGATATACAATTAGCATCAGTAATCGCCTAACCTGTTATATAATATCAATCCTCCATGGTTGTGAATGCTGAAAGATCTACTAATAGAAGAAGAGACTTGAAGCAACAGAAATGTGATTCTACAGAAGGATGCTGAGAATACCATGAACTGAACATGTGAGCAATGACAAAGGTTTCAAGAAAATAGAGACAAAAAGTACACTTAACATCAGGAAGAAACAGTTGAATTTTCTAGGGCACATAATGAGGAAAGAGGGCTTGTAAGATCTGATACTCACAAAACAGATTGAAAGCAAGAGGGACAGAGGAAAACAACAGAAACCTACCAAGCGAGTGTGAGTATGAACAAATGGATAGTGGAATAAGGTTTAGGGGAGATAACAAAAAGACAAAATTTATTAAGAACTACAAAGGCCTGTTGGAATAAAAGTGGCAGTTGAATTTAGTCATTTCAACAATAAATGGGTGAGACCTAGATTGGCATCTAGCTCCCATGCTTAAATTCATGCAATTGGTATAACAGGGAGAAAAGCTCATTGGAGAAATTGCCATGAAAATATTTGTAGAAAAGTCAGAGGGAAGTTATGTCACATCAGTGAGAAAGTGACTTACGTTGAGATACCAAGTCAGTACCATTACATTACAGATCCTTCTTTGGATTTTGTCAAGAACCTCGAGATGAATAGCAGGAGAATGCTTCACTTCCAGCCTCAAAAGTGCCTCAGTGTCCTTGTGCAAGTAAATGGAAGGGAGTTCCACAGGTGGAAAGTGTGAGAAAAGAAACTGTTAGAGTAGAAATGGTGTCTGCATTTAACTATTTCAAAAGTAAATGGGTGGGACTAGGATGCTAATCTAATTGTGCACTTAAATTCATGCTGGGATTTCTTCCTAGTCAATAAGTTAGACCATTTCTTGGTCTCATCTGACTTAGTGCTGGTCTGTCTTGTCTTGAAGTCAGAACACTATGTTTGTTTATCCAAATTTGCTCTTGTGTGTCAACACCAATTCTTTGTTTGTGAAATTTTTGTCATATTACTTTTGCTTTGCTTATCATATATAGTTTGCTTGCTTTATATTATTTTTTTCTGTTCTTTTCTTTTCTTGTTATTGTTTATTACAAACTTTGTCAATTTTTGTTTTTTGGGCAGTTTTGCCATTTACATTTAACCATGGCCACTTACTCTACAATTTGTCATTCGAACCTTAATCTTGCCAATGTTATGAACGCTTGTTTTCAACATTGGGTTTAGATTTAGCAAAAGCCAGAATTAACAGGGATCTAAATCTGAATGGACATACTCAAGCAATGTGATGTTTTGTCAAAAAAAAACCCTGCACAATATATGAATAGACAGGCATATTCTTGAGAGAGAGAGACTGGGAGAGTGTTTGTTTACACATGCGCAGTAAGGTCCCCTCTGATTAATTATTAAGTTATAAGGCTGTGCAACTAGTTCTCAAGAGGTTCAAAGTGACTTGATATTTTCTGGAAGGACCTTGTAAATATATGCTGGTTTATGTTAGAGATTGTTACTCACAGTAAAAATACAAGTAGTAATAATGCATGGTGGAAAAAATATTAGTAGCCTCCACTGGTATCACTAGCACTCCTCCACTGGTATTACTAGCACTAGCATTCATAGTTTATCAATAGTAGTAGTTATGGTATTATGGTAGCATTCACTTAGGAAACAATACAGATTAATACTGGTTATAGTAGACAATATGACAGCATAGGCAATATAGCAACAGCCTGTTTATTTAGCAAAATAAACTATCTGGGATTCAGCTCCTTATACTTGATTTAGCATTTCACCAGAAATGTACACTCACATATTGGATTATTTTGTAACAATTCTGTGACCAGTAAAATAGGTATTATTATAGGAAATATCAAATCTCCATGGTACAGAATGTGAGTTCAAACCTTGTTCAATCTCTGAAATTGAATTTGAAGTATAAAAAATATATATGCCAAAAAAGTTGTGATAAAAAGTAACAAAAATATTAAGATATGAGTAAAAAGAAAAGATATAGTGAATAATGAATATTTTTAATGTCAGAAAACCAGGTAAGCTCAAAGAATTACTACTACTACTAATTTGAACAAAACCAAAGATACATTTTGATATTTATTATTAATTTTTAACTTTTAACTTTTTCTTCTATGTGCTGTATGCTTTCAGGACATAGGCGATTATGGCTCTCCACAAATTTCTATCTTTTGTGGCTCTTAGCTGTTTTTCTTCTAAGGCTCCCACTCTACCCTTTTCTCCCATCCATTCACACAAGCTAAGGTAAGGGGCTTGCTGCCTTCTATCTTTCTTGCCTTCAATATGCCTCATGAGTGTTAAGTTTTCCAAGCCTTCCTTCCTCATTCTGTATCCAAGTATTTTCAGTTAACCTTTTCCTGATTCTGAGTAGAAGTGTTCTTTCTGTTGTCATCCTTGTTACTTACTCAATCCGACCACGGAATTTTTAGAATTTATTATTCTGTAAAACCACATTTTTTCTGCCTGTAGTTTTCTTCTCATCCATGTAGAGATTGTCTAGCATTTACTGTCATATGTGAAGATGGATAACACATAGGAATCCAGCACTCTTTTCTTTGTTTATAATGAATTTTTTTCCCATTTTTCAGCACCATGCTTAGCTTTTGGAATGCTTCTTTTGCTAGTCCAAGGCATATTCAGATCTCAGTGTCACATTTTCCATCCTTTTTTTTAAAATGCTTCCTAGATATTTAAACTTCTGCACCTGCTTAATTTTTATATCTTCAATTTGTAACTTACATCTTGGGTGTTTTCCCTTGCTGATGATCAGTGAAAAGCCAATGTTACTCAAATACATCTGTATTCTCTCTCTTGCTCTTTCATATCAAAATAATTTGTTCAACATTCATTGATGTTTGTAGCAAAGCACTTAAAGAAAAGTATTCCATACGGTTTAAGCATTTATAATCATAAAAACAAACTTAAGCTACTGTTTTAAATGAAAAGCCTGGATGACATGTGGGATTGCAAATGGAAGAACTCTTGATATGCATACAAACATACATATAAAACTCATGTTAAACAATTGAACTAATATTGAAAATTTAGATGCTAAATTTTAAAAATTAATGTTAATAATATACTCACCTGAACCAAGAATGGGCAAAGCTAAAGATTGTACCTGATGTTCGTCAGCTTTATTGAGCAAAGCACACATGGCTGAAGTTAAATTCTTTTGGATGTTATCTTTATTATATTTTGACTTCTTATCTTTTAGGCAATTCACATAAATAATTAACTTGTATTTGAGGTTTCCACCTGAAGTAACTAGTACTTCTCCTTCTGGTAATTTTTTATATGGCTGCTGGTAATAACAAGACATTAATTCCGTTTTGACATTAGTACCTGCATGACTAAGAATTAACTGGCAAACATATGAAATTTGATCCATATTGCTAAAAACTGGACAAACTATAGCATCTGCATCAACTGACAGGATCTCATCATGAAGAATTCTGATACTAAAAAAGTTTGAGGTGTATTTTGTTTGTCCTGATTCAAAAACAGGTTCAAAGTTTTCTGGGAAGATTCCTTGCGGCAATTTAAAGTTTGTGTTCTGATTAGGTGGTAGGCCTAACTCACTATTAATTATTCCTTCCACCATGGTAACATTTTCGAGATTAAGACTCTCAATGAAAATACTGGATTTCTCTTTCATATAATTACATTTCACAAGTGGGAATTTCAGCTTGCAATCTGTTACAATTCTGTGCAAATGAGATTTCTCTTGAATGCTTTCAACATCAATTACCTTCCTTTTAATCAATTTTAGCAGTTTCTTAAATTTCTGCCGTATATTGATTGAAGAATTTGTAGGAGTTACAATTGTAATAACATATTCTTCAGATTTTTCTAACTGATTCTTAATATCAGGTAGAGCTTCAATAATTTCTTCTTCAAAGAAAAAAAGAAGGCTTTCCAGTTTACTGCGATGAATTTTGGCCACATGGTTTATAAGGTTTTTGTTCTCCTAGAAAATAGGGAAAAAAAATTAACATACAATAAATTTCTGAGGAATTAATAGATTTTTTAATCAGACATTATTTCTTATTACTACAAACTTTATAGTTAGTAGATACATGTGTTTAATTAATCGGGATTATTTTGTTAAAAAGTGTAGTTAGCATTGTGGGTAATCAAATTTTTATAAGAAAATGTGCCTCTTGGTAGTGATCAAACCTGTGTTCCCTTTACAGTGGGAAAACCAACTATTAATATTGAACCTGCATCTGTCTTACTTTGGGAAGACCACATTTAAGCTAGGTGTGTTTTAGTTCGCACAGCCAGAACTGAGACCTCATAGTAAAACATGGTTCATTTACCCTTTTTAAAAAATGCAATCATTAGATCCTTTCTGATATCTTTATTTTCGTACTTGAAAGATAAATAAACTTTTTAACAATAAATGAACTTGTCAGAGTTAGCTCCTCCTTAACTCCTTACCTTTCAACAGGGGTCTCTCTTCCCTGGCTATAAATACTCGCTGACCCTTTGCCTCAATCTCTTTTTCCATCAGGCCTTTGGGCCGCCACCTTGAGGTAAATTTCTTTTTGCATCAGGCTTTCAGCCTTACCACCTCGCAGATGTGAATGCTCACAGATACAGCATTTCCCAAATGCTGGGAACACGCTAAGAACAATACACATATGTACGAACACTCACCACAATACACACATATAATATTCACCACACACACTTTGTTCATGTAATTGTCCATGTAACTTGTAACCTTTCTTGTTATTAATACATATATTTGTTTACATATATTTATCAATCTTGTGTTTGTTTTTCTTTGCCTTCTTTGGACTTAATTAAAGTCCAACTTTCTCATCTAGTTGGACCGGCTAGCAGGAAAATCTTAACTGTCGTGTGTTCTACTTCTACTCAACACCACCACCACCACTGTCCTCTACAAACTTTTTAAACCAACATTATTCCTTATTACTATAAATGTTACATGTTAAATGTAAATATATATGTTATATGATACATGTTACATGTTAATGGATACACATATTCAAGTAGACATCACTGTTCTTCATTTTTTTTTTTTTTTTTTTTTTAAATATATGCATTTTTTAAAAGGAATACCTGAACCTTGCTTTGCTGTGAGGTCTCTCATTCCTGGGTGGTAGAAAGCACACTGAGCTTAAAGTGGTTTTCCCATAGTAAGAAGAATGCAGGTTCACTCTCTGCCAAGAGTCACATTTTCTTTATTAATTGTCCAGGCTAGTAGACATCAATTACATGGTTTAAAATAACAGGGATGTCTGCTGAAAAATTTTTATCCACTAAATATATTTTTTTATAAACAAATATAAAATAAACCATACATTCGAATAATTAGTAAATTGTTAATTTTCTGCTAATATCCATAAAATTTTAATGTTATCTTATCTAAATAATAACTTGGTTTCAAACAAGATTGTAATGTGCTTGAATTTTAGATCACTTACCTTTGATACTTTGTGAATTAATGTATCAACGGCATGGCTTAAATTTTCGGAAAAATTACCAGAAAAATCACTAAGTTGAATCCATAACACTGGTTTGTCTTCATGGATTTCCTGTTGAGTTCTTTTTGAACCTTTTGGGATTGCTCCTAATAAAGCACCTAAAATGAAAAAAAGAAAAAAACATAAAATGATTTTGAAAAAAAATGTACATTCTCACTGTGCTATCCTCTTTTCTCCTCCTTCATAAGCATGGATCAAAAAATCCATAGCCTAATGTAGTTTTTTGGCTGAATTTTAATCATCTGAAATGTTCATTGTATAATGTTTGATGTATGCGATCAATAATAACCATTGACAAGAAAGGAGATTATTTACATTGTTTGGACTCTTCTCCTCATCTTTATTGATATATTCACAACGTTTCAGCTCTGGCATTCTTCATGTGATATATGTTGGAATTTCAAACCGAACCCTTTATTTAGCCCACTAGATTGTTCTAGTTTTATATATGTGCCATACTTTTTCTGGATATCTCAGTTTCAGTTATTTCCATTTAGTAATGCTCAGATATTTTTATTCACCTCTGCTGTGGCCAGGTATTGAACTCACAACTCTTTGGGTCAAGTCTCTGGATTACTTCAATCAATGCTTTTATCCACTGACTCATGTGTTTTGAATTGTGACTTCAATAATATATATATATATATATATATATATATATATATATATATATATATATATATATATATATATATATATATATATATATATATATATATATATAGATAGATATAGATAAAGAACAGACTAAGCTGAATAGATAGATAGATAGATAGATGAAGAACAGACTGAGCAGGGATAGATAGATAGATAGATAGATAGATAATGTTGTTTTAATGCATATATTTAAATATGTAAAACATACATATAGGAATATACTGACTCATGTGTTTTGAATTGTGACTTCTAATATATATATATATATATATATATATATATATATATATATATATATATATATATATATGTATGTATGTATGTATGTTATGCATATGAACTCAATACTAATAATAAAATTCCCTTCCTTGACATATTGATAAACACAAATAATAACAAATTTACTATTTCGCCATACAAAAAACCTACAAGCATAAATTCATGTACCCTTAACTACAAGAGCGAATGCCCATATTACTACAAAATAGCAATTATAAAGAATCTAATACATTGTGCAGAAACTAATTCATCTACAAAACAGATTTTTTACAGTGAACTAAAGAATATAAAACAAATACTTATTAATAATAGCTTTTCAAACTATATAGTTGATGAACAAATATGATGCTTTCTTAGAAATCTCAATACTAAGCAAATAGTACATAATACTGCTTCTACTAATCTCAAACATATTAATCTCCTATATCGTAATCAAATGCATACTAATTATAAACAAAATGAAAACATACTAAAAAAATTGGTAAATACTAATATATCTACAACAGATCCTAGCAAAAAAATTAAGTTAATCATATACTACACTAAATCTAGTATATCCAACTTAATTATTCGCAATGATTCTTCTCCCCCAGTTAGTGATTTGCAAAAAACCAACATAGTTTACAAATTCAAGTGCCCTTTGGGAGATTTATCTCCAACGAATTAAATAATATTTATGTTGGTCACACCACAAACTCTCTTTCATGACGCTTGACTTTACATTTGAATGATAACTCTAATATCTTTAGGCATTTAAAACAACATGCCTGGCCGCATACACAATTCCATAAAATCCTTGTCGAAAACACAATTATTCTTAAACATGAAAACAATAAACAAAAACAGTTGAAACCTAACCTAAACAAAATAAACTATGTAATCTCCACAAATATCCTTAAATGTCTATAATTGGTAACAGAAGCCATTGGTTTATACCAACGGCTTCCCATACTTAATACTTCTTGAATTCACTCTCGTGTGGTCATGTGTGATGTCATGAGCTGTGTTGCGATTTTCGCTTCCAGTGTCTTATATGCACGTGTTTATCGTTGCTTGGAAATCATCCATGTAAACAGAAACAGACTATCATCACATTCCTGTCCATGTATTACTTAATATATTGTACAGTAATTGTCATCTTTGATAATGGGTTATGTATGCCGAAAGCTTAGATTGGATTAAAAAATATGGATCAATATTGTGATTTTCTTTCTTCATTTAATGATAATGTTATTAAGCTTATCAGACGTTATGAAAAGAATTTACATAAAATAAATAGACAACACTTGTCTATATTATTTAATGAAACATGTATGAATGAAAAAATGCTGCCTAAATACACACAATATATATATATATAGTTATGCATATATATATACACACACACACACACACACACACACTTTGATAACAGGCAATATAAATTTAGTAAAGGTGTCTACAACAGCAGAAGTGTTAAGCAAATCACTGAAAGAATTCTCAAGATGAGTTTCAATGTGTGCAAAAAAAGATGTCAAAAGGATGGTTATTCCATTGACTATTGCACCATTTTTTTCATCTCTCAGCATTATTTAAAAGATTATAAAAATATGTGAAATAAGTACAAAGTAATATTTATTATTTATCTTTTATAAAGATTTATTATTTACCCATTTTATAAAAAAAAAAAAGAATTTATAAAATATTACAACACTAGCAGTAGAGCCCGGCGTTGCCCGGGGATATAACAGTAAGAGATAGATCAAGTATCCACCATCATAAAGACTGAAAAATAAAATTGACAAAGATTATTGTTTAAGGTTGATGGACACGCATGTCTTAATTATTTTTTTTTTTTTTTTTTTTTACGAATTGGTCAAACCCAAACTCAAACAAAAACATTGTTTTCAATCGTTATGAGTCTACTGATTGAATAGAATTTTATTATAAATAATTGTCTTGTAAATGGAATTTTTAAAGCATTCTGAATGTTAAAAATAAAGAAAAACGTGTGCAAGAGAATAAGAAACACTACCTGCCAAAAAAAAAAAAAAAAAGTGAAGTTTTGTTTTATTGGCTGAAAAATATAGGAAATCCGCTTCCATATTTAAAGGAACCCACACACACACAAACAACCCGATGTGAGTTGTCCCCCTTCCATTTTTACGATGTCTCTTAAACGTGTTTTCAATTGATTTTGTGCAAAAACAATTATATTTTTCCCATTTTTGGCGCTGTTAGAACCACCACAAGGTAATTTTATGTAGTCCTGTGAAGTTTTGTTGAAATCGGTTGAAAAATATAGGAAATCCGATCCAATATATAAACATTACAGAGACACACACACACAATCTGCGTTTTATAATAAGTAAGATTATCAAAATATCAAAATATCAATGACAATACAGGAAAATTTTGTCCATCCATTAAATAGGGAGATACATGCTCAAAATATTGTGTGTTTGTGGTCTAGGGTAAAATCTAAAATTAAAAGAATGTTTGATTCAGAGGAAAAGATGCTCTCAACCTATTTTAGTGAATTTATTTGGTGAGAGCAAATAAAAAAAAGTTCAGAAAATGCAGGTTTCATAATTTATAATTACAGTTACGTTTCTTTTTTTAAATCTGTATCACCTCAAGGCAGTAAATAAAGCCACTAAGACACAAAGGGGTTATAGGGTGTGGAAGAATTAGGAACAAAAACATTAATAATGAGTGAGAAGAGGAAAAAGTAATCAGGAGGAGAGTAGATAGTGATTGACATTACGTTTAAATTTTTGCAGATTAAAGTTGGCTGGAAATCATGGAGCCAGAAGGGAGTTCCACAAGTGAGAAGTGCGAGAAAGTAAACTATTACCATAGAACTTATGGCTATATCTAGCCAGCTCAAATGTAAATTGATGAGATCTTGACAACAGTCTAGTGCTGCACTTAAATTCAAAAAGAGCTCATTTTCATTTTTTTGTTCACAGACATTTTTATAAATTTATGAATAAAAAATTTCTTTTCATATTTCTTTGTAAAATGGTAAAAAAATATTTCATTGTAGTTGGCTCACATACTTTTATAATCTTGTAAACATAATGTTATTCTTGTAAATAAGCAATCTAATAAATAAATTGTGTTTAATATCTTTGCTGTTAATTCTCAAGAATAAAGAAAAAGTATAAATCCATTTCATATGTTTAGGTTTTATTAAAACTCTAATCCATTGCTTTTTGAAACATTATGGAGGGAGTAAAAGAAAGGCTATAATAGTGGTGTCATGAGAATAACAGTCTTTTTGATATACCATTTTTTTTCAGAATGGTGGTTGAACTTTGCCCTACAGGTATTACAAGCATTAATCAAATCAAATCTATATTTGTTAAAAATTGCTTGATTAATCTAAAACTATAATGTGAAAGGAATCTCTTTAATGACAATTGTTATAACCCAGGTTGTTGGGATGAACAAAAACGATTAAAAATAAAAGATAACTGTATTTTAACACAATAAAACAACTTTTATTCATTCACTGTCTGAAAACAGCAAAGATTGTATGGATGGAAACAATGAATTCCACGTGTGTGTTAGCTTGTCACCATTATTGAATTCAGAAGTAAGGTGCTCCACTTCAAAGACAAGGGAAGTAACTCCTTGTATTTTGAGTTATTGTCCTTTATAAGAGAAGGAAATTTGCTCCCCTAACAACAATAATTTTTTTTTTGAGATAACAGAAAATTAATATAAGAAAGGTTCATGCAAACCACTGATTTATATAAGGAAAAGCTGGTCACATGAATTTACAAGTTTGCAATTTAAAGAAGAGTGAAAGTATCCTTTAATTTCTGTCATTCTTTAACTATTACATATGTATAACAATTCATAGAGTTTTATACAGCATTCACAAGTTCAAAAATAAGTATTAAGAAACATGACTAAAGATAACAAAAAATTATAAATTTAATACAGTTACCTGCTGTTCCATCATCAAAGCCTTTAGTTTTGACATTGCCCAATTCTGAAATGGTTTCTGTAATTTTTACTTGAATTTCAGGGCTTTCTGTTATAACAGCTATACATTTGCGTGAAGAACCATATAGATGCATCTGGTCAAATGATTGTAAGGCTGCAAGAAGGTCACTGCAGAATTGGTTCAATATTCTGGGATTTTTCACCGTTAAGGAAATTCCAGTAATTTTAGAACTAAAGCTGTATTCATCATCCAACATTTGGAAGCATTCTTCAAGAACACTCTTAAAATTAGGTGTTGTATTATCTCTTTGCATTAAAGGAAGTGCAACATAAAGTCTCTGGTTAAATGGTAGATTCCAGGTTTCACCTTTCCATATTGTGTCCCCAGATGGAAATTCTTTTGCAATTGTGAATTCTACAAATGAAAACAAATTGAAAAATAAAAAAAATGTTGTTAATTATGTAAACATCTAACAATTAAATTGATATGAAACTATTATAATGTCTCACAATTAAGTGTCATATAATATATATATATATATATATATATATATGTGTGTGTGAATGAATATATATATATATATATATATGTGTCTGTGTGTGTATGTGTGAATATATATATATATATATATATATATATATATATATATATGATAGAAACCCATTTACATATATCAAAAATTATCTAAGCAGGGCAGGCTGCTAAAGCTACCACTACCCTGCCTCTCCACTTCCTCTTCCCCAAATTCTTGGTTTGAGGAAACCTACCAGTACTAACCCCCAATCTCTAACCCCTATTTGTATCCAACCCCTTTCTCTCACCTTCCTTCCTCTCTACCAAGAAAAAAGGCTATGTAATTGTAGAATACCTGACCAATGTTCGTTATTAAACAGGTACTTAACAAAATCCATAGTGTATATGTGCTATATCTCATCAAATGAGAACCCCAGAGATATTAAGCTGTATGTGGGGTCAATTAGCAGACCTTTTAAGGATAGTTATTACAATCACATGAACTCCTTTACAAATGCAGCCAAATGCAATTTGACATCACTTTCGGAATATTTTTGGAAACTGAAGGAAGAAGGAAAAACACCTAAGATTAAATGGAAAATCCTAAGACAAGCTAGAACTTGCAATTCTCTGAACAAACCTTGCTTCTTATGTTTACAGGAGAAAATATGTATCATTGAACTTTTGAACAACCCCCAATTATTAAACCAAAGATATGAAACCACCGTTGCTTGTAGACATACTAAGGATCTTGTTAAATTCTTACCTCCATAACTATAAACGTTTTAAAATTATATACCACCTCTTTTGATATATTCCCCACCCTCTTATGTACCTCTCCACTAATTAGGATATGGTTCTTAAAATATATATATATATATATATATATATATATATATATATATATATATTTTTTTCATATATATATTACCAGTAATATTTTCAGATAAATTGTTTTACACCGATACTTATTCTACACGCTATATTGTCCAGGAATATTTCAAAATTTGATTATAAAAGGTTATATTAGTATCCCTAACTTTTTTTTTAGAGGAAATCACAACTTCTAAATTTATTGATCCACAAAACACTTTCATTGATTACAGAATTAGTAGTGATAACCCCCAAGATAAATATATGCAATTCAGCTCTAGACTTTTTATAGTAAACCAAAAATAACATTCCCAATTACTAATAGAACTATTGCTAGAATTTTACCTACTCCAATGTACTACTATCCCCTCTTTCCACCTTTACCTCTCACTCATAGAGTGCTTGTAAGATGATGTGCCTAAACTTTTGACCGGTGTTTATTGGCAAGAAAAAATCTCCCCAGACCAGTCAACATTTAACACCCGATCCATTCTTCACCAAACTGCTGTCAACAAGCAATATTGTTTCACTCCGTCACCTTTTTTGCTTTATGTGTATTTTTTCTTCTCAAACAAATGGAAAAAGAAAGTGACTCACATATGGCTTGCCTACAAGCAGGATTCTTCATAACCATTTTTGATTCTCACCCGTTGAAGTGCAGTTGAAATGCACTGAAACAAAGTTGCATCTTTGTAGTGAGTAAAATGGTTTTGTCTATATGATAAAATTATAGTATATATATATATATATATATATATATATATATATATATATATATATATATATATATACACACACACACACACACACACACACTTCAAAAGTTTTAAGCCACCCAGAATTAGCATGGAATGAACTTAGACAAGTGAAAAAAATGAAAAAAGAGCTCTTAGAGTCACTGAAAAAAGAATGGAATCAATTATAAAAATATACCTTGAGAAACTTTTGCAATGAATGCCAAATATTTGTGCTGCAGTAATCAAAGATAAAGGGGGATATTTTGATGAGAGCAAAATTTAATCATAAAATGGTATTTTTCTTTTTGTCATAATAAAATTTCTAATAAAAAATCATGTCTCATTCCTTTAACCATGTATAATTATTTTCTCTTATTTAAAGTACAAAACAACAACTTTTTGGGACAGTTTAAAACAATTACCAGGAATGGCCTCAAACTTTTCAACTGTAGTGTGTGTGTATATATATATATATATATATATATATATATATATATATATATATAGTGGGGGAAACAAATATTCGTACACATACAAATTTTTAATTTATTATATTTCCAATTAATGTATGAACATACTTTTCATATAATTAACTGTACACAGATACATAGTAACTAAATATATAAAGAAAACAGAAATAATTTTGATTTAGCAGAAATAAATACCATTTATCCATTTTAATGGGTGAAAAAAGTATTCATTCATATGAAAAGTATGTTTATTCATTAGTTAGAAATACAATATATTAAAAATTTGTATGTGTATAAATATTTGTTTTCCCTCCACTATATATATATATATATACAGAAAAATTACTTAACTATAAATATTAATTTTTGATGTTGTCTCTCCAACTTCAATGTTTCTTGGAATTATCCTTTCTTGAAGGGGTCTATTGTTTGAATAAGTTTATTTCCAATTTTTTTGTGTCTTTTTCAATTTGTTGCATATACATTCATGTTCACGAGTTACATTTTTTTACATATGCACATTTTATCTTTTGTGTTTGTAAGTGTAAATTTTTCTTCCAAATTAGAATTTTTTTTCAATTATAATTTTTCATATATGTGTAGTTTGTATAGAAGTTGTTATATTATGTTATTAATTAAATTATAATATTTTATGTTGTATTATGTTATATTATTATTAAAATAACAAAATAAATATTTGTTAAAATGTCAGCATCAACCCATTATCTCATTCTTTTTATTTAATAATTTAATTTGGTTATTAAAAGTTAATTTTGATAATTTTTATTCTAAACACAGCCTACAATTTCTGTTGGTAATATTATATGGGGGAATATTTTTTTTTATAATTTCCTATTTAACTTTAGTAGGTATACAATTTTCTTTTTGACACCATGTATATTTTGATAATGTTGTACTATTTGCATATTTATCTATTTTAAATGACATCTTAGGATTATTAAATCTTTCTTTAAAAGTGATTTTAGTTGCTATGAAATTTTTTTCTTCTGTGTTAATATTATTTGATACAGTTGCTTTATATATTATTAGTTAAACATTTATTATTAAATGCACAGTTGTTTTTATTTTGACAATTATTATTGCTACTTTGTTCATGTGCATTATTGTAATTGCTATTGTTTTTATTTAATATTTTTTTTATTATGTTTATTTTCTTCATATTATTCATACAACTATAACTGATTTTGATTGTATTTTTGTTAAGGTTTTTTGAATTTTTACTATTTTTAGGGAAGTGTTTTTCAATTAATTTAAAGAAAATTTTTACTATTCTTGCTTTTATTATATTATTATAAGGTGGGTTAAACGAGATTGTGCTTCTTTTTCTTCTGTTTTTGTGTGTATTGTTTTTAGTTATGTATTTTGATTTAATCTAATAATCACTTTTTCTTAATTCTGATTCATATATATATATATATATATATATATATATATATATATTGATTCCATTCTTTTTTCAGTGACTCTAAGAGCTCATTTTTCATTTTTTTCACTTGTCTAAGTTCATTCCATATATACTTCTCACTGTCAATAATTACTGAGGTAGCTTCATTTCTTTTCTTCTTTAACTCTTAATCATTATCAGTTCTTCCTTTTTATTTTCTTGATTTCAACTTTTCTCATTGACTGTCAATTTACAAGGGAGATAAATTTTCATTTCTTATATGGAGTTATCTCCCTTGAAAACAAAATTCTATTCATTTAAATTTACATTAATTTAAAAAAATAATATTTTTACTATCTTTAACAAAATGCGATCATATTATATATTTTCCCTCTTTTATATATATAAGAATGTTTATATAAATAAAAGTATAAGCTTGATTGATGCTGCATTTAAATTTTTGAAGATTGGAATCGGCAGGAAAGCAAGAAATTGGAAGGTGTGAAGTGTGATAGAAGAAACTATTACAAGAGATAATGATTGACATTGCATTTAAATCTTTGAAGATCATAGGTAGCAGGGAAGCAAGAAACCGGAAATGAGTTCCACAGGCGAGAAGAACGAGAAAAGAAACTATTACAATAGAATTTAGGGTTATATCTAGCTATTGCAACAGTAAAATGATGAGACTGAGCTGCCAATCTAGTACTATGCTTAAAGACGAAAAATTATTAGAACAATTGCCATGAAAATATTTACAGAAAAGGCACAGAGTAGCTACTATGCTGGTGGAAGTCAAAAATGGTTCTCTAAAATGACTAAAAGACAACAGTTTAATTTTGAAGACATAATTAGCATGACAATTCTTGCTTCAGTTAACAAATGATTGAAGGTAATTTTTAAGATCTGCTGCCTGATTTGTTTTATCAAAACTATTAGACATACTATTAAGGCAAGGAGTAGATAGTTGTGTCGTCAGTATAGATACCAAGTTGGTAACTTATAATATTGGGAATGTCATTGATGAAGATAAGAAACTAAGTAGATCCGATGATAAAATCCTGGGGAACACACATTAATGTGAAAGGAACTAGAAGAATGATTGTTCATGACAACTTTCCTTATACAATTTATTAAGACTGAAACAAATAAAAAATATGACTGGAAACACCATAGCCCTTCAGTTTGTGACAAAGACCAGTATGCCAAACACATTTGAGATATCTAGCCCAAGATTCTCCATTCTTATCTGACAAAATTTCAGGAAAATTATATATATATATATATATATATAAAAATCAATGACGAAATTATTCATACACCTGTCAATTTTGAATATTTTTATCCATTTCTCAGAATCTAATCTTCATATGATGCCAGGTTTTTTTTATATATTAATAAGCACAAAAAAGGAAT